TCAACTTTTAATACCGGACGAATTACCCCCCTCAACCCAATCCGGAGCAGTTTTGTCCTACGTGGCGTACACGTGGCAACCTAGTCAGTATTTCTTTTTTTTTTAAACATGGTGGGGCCTTGTCATTGTCTCTCACCTCCTTTTCCTCTTCCCCTCCTACCCCCCTCTCTCTCTCTCTCGTGTCGCCAGGCGAGCGGTGGGCGGTGGCTCGTCGTCAGGAGCGGTCGCGCGGCCGGTTGGCGCGCACGGTGGCGGGCGAGCGCGGGCGGCGGGCGCACGAGGCGGCGGTGGGCGGTCGGCACGCGAGCGGCGGCGACGGCAGCGGGCGCGCGAGGGCGGGCGATGAGCGGTCGGTACGCGAGTGGCGGGCGTGGCAACGCCATCTCCTCGCCGCAGCCGCTCCTCTCCTTCCCTCTTCACTCTCTCTCTCACGGGGCGTGCAGGGGCGGGAGGTGGGCTGCGGCGCGAGCGGCGGCGGCGGGCGCGGCTGGGTGGCGAGTCACTGGCGGCGACGCCAACTCCTCGCTGTAGCCGCTCCTCCCATTTCCTTCCCTTTCTCTAGGTCCGGCGGCGGCAGCGGCGGAGCCGTCGAGGGGCAGGGCAGACAGGGAAAGCGGCGACGACGGTGGTGGCGGCGGCATAAGTGACGGTGGCGGTCCCTCCCCGCCGCCGCCTAGAGCGCCACCCGCCGCCGACCAGGGCCACCCAGCCACACCCGTTGCCACTCGCTGCCAACCAGTGTTGTGCCCGCCGTCGGCCGGAGACGCGCAGGCCGTCGCTCGGCCAGCCGCGCCCGTAGCCGACAGGAAGCACCCATCCGCGCCCGTCACCGCTCGTCGCTCGCCGCCGACCAGTTGGCCCTCCCTGCTGCGCCCACCGCCGACCGGAACCGCGCCCGCCGCCGCTTGCCCCACCGCGCCCGTTGTTGACCGGAGCCAACCAACCGCACTCGTCGCTCGACCTCGCGCGCCCGCCGCCCACCGCCCGTGCTCGCGCGCCGCCGTCCACGGCCGCCCACCTCCCAGTCTTGCGCGCCACTGTCCGCGGCCGCCCACCTCATAGTCTCGCGCGTCGTCCACCCTCGCGCGCCCACCACCCACCGCCCGCCCTCGCGCGCCCGCCGCCCACGCTCGCCCGCCGCCGTGCGCGCCGACCGGCCGCGCGGCCGCTCTTGACGACGAGCCACCGCCCACCGCTCGCCTGACGACACGAGAGAGAGAGAGAGAGGGGTAGGAGGGGAAGAGGAAAAGGAGGTGAGAGACAATGACAAGTAGGCCCCACCGTGTTTAAAAAAAAGAAATGCTGACTAGGTTGCCACGTGTGCGCCACGTAGGACAAAACTGCTCCGAATTGGGTCGAGGTGGGTAATTCGTCCAGTATTAAAAATTTAGGGGTGAGTGATGTCTGGTTTTTGGGTTTAGGGGGAAAATTCGGCCGACGACGATAGTTCAGGGGGGTAATTCGTACTTTTTCCTATTATAAACATAAGATTGTAAACATCCAACCAAAATACCCCTAGGACAAAAACTTCCAAAATATGATATTTCAGAATTTTTATCCAAATTTTGAAGTTTTTGTCCTAGGGGTATTTTGGTCATTTCGATAAATTTGTATAGTACTAACGGAGACTAACCGGACGGCGGTGGTAAATCGTACAAGTTAAGAAAAAGTCGATGGCATATTGTAACGGAGACTAACCGGACGGCGGTGGTAAATCGTACAAGTTAAGAAAAAGTCGATGGCATATTGTAGAGCGTGATTTGAACTGTAAATTAACCATCTAAAGGCTAGAAATTAATATTTGAGGTAATGCAGTTTAATGAGACAAGATGGAAAACTTTAACTAAGTGGGATGAAGTATATAGGATATTGTAGAAAATGATGGAGAGATATATGTTAAAATATTATGTAAATTATGTGGGATGATGATGTAGCATGCTTATATTTTTAAGCTTTATAATACAATAAAATATAGATGATATAGCAAATTTTGTATGATGATTAAGATATAATAATTGCTAATGGATGATGATGTAGTATCTTTGCATGTCAAGTTTTAGGATATAGTGGGTTATAATTTATAGATATTATGGATGCCAACGAGGATTATTTTCATTATTTTCTTGTAGGCTTATTTGAGTCACTTTGTGTGTGTGCTAGATCATGACCAAGGAGCCGCTGAAACCCCAGGAGCCAGACCGTACCCACTAGGCTACGACTGCGGCTTCCACCGTAATGGGAAAGGCAAGCCACGATAATTCCTTTGATAATGTTGAGCAGCTATTGTAGATCCAGTTATATTGTGCTTTATTTATTCATGAAGTTAATAGTCATGCTACACTTAATTACGCGTTATTCATTTAAATTAGTCATTTATTATAGATGCTTTCTGTTGAACATTGATCCATTGCAATCCTTGGAATATTCCCATGTAGAGATTATCGATTAGAGCAATATAGGTGAACTAGTAGTATGCCCGTACTAACGTTACGGCGAAGCTTGTTAATGCAAATAAAACACCAAAAAGATGATAATTTATAATTCACTTAAGAAAGAAATGATAAAGAGAGTTATATATAAGGAGTGATATTTGCATTCCCTTTCTAGATCTTGAGCAAAGCTATACACATCCCATTAAGGAGCATTGTGAGATGAGATCTAACATAATGGTAGTGCTTTTTATTCCGTAACATTATCTCAGATTCAGTCAACTCTGTTGCACGGTGTAAAACATCATCATCCACGGAGTATGAAATAATCACTAAAAGATGGGGAGCAACTCAAAAACTCAAACATAATTAGTGGGCTTGGCTGATGGCAGTTTGTGTCAATGCCTCTGGAATTATCCAACTCATCATTTTTCTGTCGGCAAACAATGCACTCATATAGTATGAAATTCATGATATTTACAATAACAGTCAGATGCATAATAAAATGCAATATTTTCATTAAAACAATATATGATGGTAAATAAGGACATAAATAAGGACGACACTTTGTAATCCACTTCTTTTATTGCTTCCTCCGTGGTCCACTGTACTTCTTGCTAGATTGACAATTTGTACAAGGACAACCTTTCCTCTGATATTTGGATTCCTATCAAGAAGTAGCTCCAACCTAAGCAACTTTGGACTGATTCAGGTATCCATGTCATCTACAGCAAACATCAGCATCTGGCCTTTTACCTTTGTTCAATTTCCTGAACCTTCAATGTTAAGATGGTTTCAAGCTGGCCAAACACAGACACCAACTGAGAGGATCTTTAGGCTCCCTGTTCTTCCAAACTATTTCGGTCTACTATAACCACTTTTTTATTCATAACGCAAACTGAATAATGCGCTGCAATAAGGAAGTGGCATTGCAAGGTCATGTACTCTAAGACATTGAATAATTCAAGGAAAGAAAAATGCAAATATGAGTATTATTTGGGGACCGACAAATATCAGCAGTAGGAGATGCCTTCAATGTGATAAGAGGAAATCACATGGATTACAAGCATATTTAGAGCCTCCAATGACCTGAAAACTACACCTTACATCCAACCAAAGAAAATTTAATAGAACCAACCAAAAATCCCGTGCTTACATAGAAAAAAGGAGTATATGCCATGGTGTACCACTGCAAATTAATAAGTCATTTGGAGAAAAAAATTAAGCAATTCAACACATTACCTGTTCACATAGGAATGCAACCCAAAGTTTTCGTGTTCCTTCAGCCATCACAAGTTCAAATTTTCTTCCCAACTGTGACTTACAAAACATCAACAGCCTGCAACGAATCATATAATTAAATTGAATCAGTTATTTTCTCCCTTTCTATTTTAAAGTTCTTTGTTCAAGGGCATTAGTCACATGACCTCGAAAAATGCTATTTTCACGCTCCATTTGTAATTGAATGGATGCCATGCCTCGGGTACTGACAGATCAAAGCTCCTTAACATAATTGACCATGATCAAGAACACAATGGATTTGAACCAAGGAAACTGATCACATATGCATGCCACTAATCATAGATGTATGTACTCCTCTAAGCAAGAATATAGGGTCACTGATAATATGTTGTTTGAAATAAGGGTTTGTTGGAACCATGGAGTATGAAACTGTGACAGTAAAAAGAGATGAACCTGCGAGGGCCGCTCTGATAGATTCTGAAACGGCAGAGGAGGCGTTAGTGCCACCTTGGGGATCCGTTCAGGCAATCGATCAAAGGCAGTGGGATGGTCGGCTTCAGTTCGGTGGCAGGATTGATCACAACAGGCGCCTAATGAGCAAGAGTTCCCCAAAGCAGTGCCGGCTGGCGAATGGGAGGATCAGCGGAATCAGTCACACTGGATCCACTAGTGTCCGGCGACCGGTGAGCTGGTCGTGGAGTAACATTTGCAGTGGACAAATTAAGCAACGAAATCCATAGTAACCAATCCTAATTTAGCATAAATTAAAGCTTCAAAGCGTAGATAAATAGAGACAGGTAAAGCATTGTGCATTATACTAATTCTGCTTCAATGCGATGCTGAGTTGACCATCAGTCCACATTAATATATGCCATCAGTCCAAGATGATGCAATAATCTGAATTTTTGATAAACAAGATGATGTGATAATCTGAATTTTCAAAAAGCTTTTAAGAAAACTGTAGCGCTTGAATATATCATGTTTACACCATATCAGCACCAGTAGAAAAGCATGAGCATATATATAGGAACATGAGCACGCCATTCTCATCATCAAGTAATATATATATGTACTGAAATAATCTGGAAACACTGAAAACCAATAAATATGTTGCACATCTGGAGGATGAGCATGAGCATGTTCCATCCACATGCATCTGACCAGCATCATTGATTGGCGCGGAAGGATCGAGAAGCTCAGGGCACCCGCAATGGTTATCTATAGGCTCTCTACAAGAGATCCATGTCAGCATATTTTCCTACTTGGAAGAGATTAAATGAAGAGAGAGAGGAAAGCTATCTACTAACCTGGAGATAGTCTATAGAGAAAAACGAGGCAATGGATTAGAGAGCTATAGATACCCATGTAGACATACCATTGAAGTGGTTTACTATTAATCTAGTCTATTGCTGAGATGTACATGTTTTATAGATAGCACCTTACTTTACCATTGTGGGTGCTCTCAGACACGATCATCCTGTCGACCGGCATTGGATTGGGCGCCTACTAGTCAGCAGAAGAGACAAGCTAGGGAGCTGCGTGTCCAATAAGTAGAGGTCCGTTGGATGAGTCAAAAAGCAAAGTAGTGCCTGCTTTTGTTGGGATTGAGCATAGCGACACTGCCGTAGCAAGCAGTGATAGGAGCAGGGTGAAAGGGGGGGCGTTTGGACCGAGTCCCGACCACCGTCCACGCTCTCCTCGAGCAAGGCAAGCCCCACTACATTTCTCAATAAGGATGAAAAGCTTCCAGGAGATGCGTCCTGTTGGTAGAAACACACAGGATCGATATCTCTCTCTCACTTGACAAAAACTTGAAGATGAACAGTAAGCTAAAGAGCAATGAACATAGAAAGTTTTGTGGTGCTTAAATCTTGCCGCACCGTTTTCATGTTTTCTTCTTCCTTTTATTGAAGGGAAAATGCACACTACGGCCTAACAAATTGGCCGGATTACTCGCTCCACCATCCGGATTACGAGCGCCATCCCACTCGTCAGATCGTGCAGCGAGAGACTCTCACATTACCGCCTCGACGTGAACTCGCACGCCTCAGGCCTATAGACGCGCTCAACTCTGACTAGAGCGAGCCCAGAAAAACAGGGAATAAAAAACAAACACATAACGTGCATGAAAGGAAACTATCCTAACTAAATAAAACAGCTTTTGCAGGCACAAGGTTAACGTAATATGCAACAAATCTCCCCCTAAACCTTGTGCCCGCGACTTACTTCCGAAACCCCGATCCGCGAGCGTAGCTCCTCAAACCGCACTCGACCAAGGGACTTCGTCAGTATATCAGCGACTTGATCTGCAGTCCCAGTGAATTCCAACTGAACTCGCCCTTCTTCCACACACTCCCGGATATAATGATACCGAGTAGCTATGTGTTTGCTGCAGTCATGAAACACCGGATTTTTGCTCAATGCAATCGCCGACTTGTTGTCAACCATCAACTTGAAAACATCTGGCTGAGCTTGGTTAATTTCTCCCAGCAACTGCGCCATCCAGACGCCCTGACATGCTGCTGTCCTCGCCGCAATATACTCTGCCTCGCAAGATGAAAGAGCGACAACCTTTTGCTTCTGGGATTGCCAACTCACCGGATTGGATCCAAGGAAGAACATGACACCGCTCGTGCTTTTGCGCGTATCCACGTCACCGGCCATATCTGCATCAAAAAACCCAACTAGAGTAGCCGGCGTCTCCGATCTCTGGTAGATGATCCCGTAATCAATTGTGCCAGCAATGTATCTCAGTATCCGCTTCACCGCTGCCTCATGCTCGGCAGTGGGTGCCTCCATGAAGCGACTGACATAACCCACCGCGAACGCGATGTCCGATCTTGTGTGAACCAAGTACCGCAAACTTCCGACGATGCTGCGATAGCCAGTAGAATCCACTGGTGGTGCATCACTGTGATTGCTGAGCTTGAGCCGCTGCTCCATTGGCGTCGCACAGGCATTGCAGTCCTGCATCCCTGCCTTCTCCAAAATACGACGCGCGAAGGCCGACTGAGTCATCCGTGTGCTGCCCGCCACCTGTTCGACCTCAATCCCCAGGTAGAAGCAGAGGAGACCAAGATCGCTCATCCTGAAAAGGGACTTCATCTCCGCCTTGAATCGATCAATCTCCACAGCATCACTTCCTGTAATGATAAGATCATCCACATAAACACCAACAAGCAAGCGGTGTGTTCCCTCACCTCGAGCATACACGGCGTGCTCAAAGTCACAGCGCCTAAAACCAAGTGACATTTGCTTGCGTCCAGCTTGGCATTCCACGCTCGGGGTGCTTGGAGAAGTCCATAGAGTGCCTTGTCCAGCTTCAGCACTTGATGTTCATGTCCCTCGACCACGAAGCCAGGCGGTTGCACGACATACACCTCCTCAGTGAGCTCCCCATTGAGAAAAGCGGACTTCACGTCCATGTGATGGACAGACCACCTGGCCTGTGTAGCTAAAGCGAGCAGCATGCGGACTGATTCCAGCCTTGCCACCGGAGCGAACACCTCGTCGAAGTCCACCCCGGGCTGCTGCACATATCCTTTCGCCACCAAACGCGCCTTGAACTTGGTCACCTCACCTCGGGCATCCTTTTTCACCTTGAAGACCCACTTTAGTCCAATGGCATGGTGTCCACGAGGGAGGTCGGCCAGTCGCCACGTCTTGTTTTCTTCAATGGCTGCAATCTCCTCCAACATGGCGCTACGCCAGCGCTGGTGTTGTTCGGCCTCGTTAAACGAAGCTGGTTCCTCAGCCTCCTGAAGATACAATTGTTCTGGAGCGAGTGCACGCTCGGCGAGGCCCGGTGTCGCCACGTCGCCCAAGAGATCCCCTAGGGGACAATACCTTGGCGGGGCAGTCATCGTGATCAGCATCAAGGTGCTCGTCTCCCCCCGACGGAGGCGAAACGAACACTGGACTTGTCCCATGCAAAGACGCTCGTGGTCCCGAGCTTGGCGATGGCGTGCGCGGCTCCTCAGGCATGGTCGATGCAGCGCGTCGTGAGCTTGACGATGAGTTTTCCTCCTGAGCGCCGCGACCACCACCGCTCACCTGTGTCAGCACATACTCGACGGAAAACTCCGTCTGTTCAAGGCCAGACTCGGTCACTTTAGCGCCCCAGTCCCAGCTCGCGCCTTCGTCGAAGATGACATCGCGTGACACCTGCATGCGCCTGGTCACAGGGTCGAACACCTTGTACGCCTTGGTGCCCGCTGCATACCCTATGAACACCATGGGCGTGCTGCGATCTTCAAGCTTGGAGAGGTGTGGGCGCACGTTCTTGACGTACGCCAGGCAGACGAATGTGCGCAGATGTCCCATCGCCGGCTTCTTGCCGAACCAGGCTTCATAGGGAATCCGGTTCTCCAAGTTTTTCTCTTCTTCTTTCTTGAATTGGAGCAAAGCAGATCTAGTTGAAAGCCAGCACACAAGCAGATCGAGTAGAAATACGGTCTCTGCGAGCTCAGCTTTGGATCGATATCAGCGCATCCACCATCAACAACTACTAGCTTCGTAAGACGTAAGTTATCCTAGCCCTGATCCTAATTTGGTTCCCGCTCTCTGCGTTGCTTCGTCTGCGGTGCGCATATGACAGCATATCTGTTGTGTGTTCACCATTCGAGTTTGTTCTCCAATCTCCATGTATCATATCGTTCAGTACCAAATCATGTGTATTTCCTAAACTCTTTAAGTTTCTTTGGTCTGCACGCGTGTTGAGTGTTTCATTGTAATAATTGGTTGTAGCCCTTGGAGCAAAGGCTGGAATGGTTTTATATTTTTATTCTATTTCATTATCTAAAAAATTTCCTGAACTCTTTTCGAATGGAGCTTATGAATTTATGATCGGTAGGACTGCAGCTCCCCCGTTCCTTAGGATGCACAATTTTTCTTGCAGTGAATAGATCAACAGATAGAGAGATGGAGGAGGAGAACAACTGTCAACCAGCAAGGAGAGCAGGTCGTTGCAAGCGTTCAGAGGTTTGGGATCACTTTGAGCAGAAGGCAGGGTGCAACTACTGCAAGGCGCTGCTGTGTGTAGATCCAGCTAGGGATGGCACCTCGTGCCTCAAGAAGCACTACGAGGAGACTTGCCCGGTGAGGCATCCTAACAAGTCTGGGCGTGGTAGACAGAACGGGCACGGCTCGCCCGTTGCGTCGTCTGAGCGACAAGGGAATCACGTCTTGCAGAATAATGCATCGATGATATCCAAATCCACCTCTGACGGTCAGAAAATGGAGACTGCTGCTGCTGCTGCTGCTGCTGAAGATCATTTTATCAGGATGATCGCACTGCACGGGTTCCCTTCCTCGATGGTCGAAGACAAGCAGTTCATAAGATTTGTTGGAATGCTCTGCCCTGATTTTAAGATGCCTTCGCGAGATGATGTGGAGGAGAGGTGTGATGCGCTCTTCGACCAAGAAACGAGCAGCCTGAAGGATGCTATTGCACGTACGTCTGGGCTGGTAAGTTTGTCAATAGGCCGAGCTCGAACTGCCATGGTGGATACTGTGTACCTAGCGGCCCACTTCATTGATGATGAATGGAATCTCTGTAGGAGAGTAATACGGGTGTTTAAGGACAACGGTATGTTCTCTGATGAATTCAAAACTCCCTATGGTTACATATTGGACGTCAAAGATTACCTTTACAACAAGACACTTTATGATACAGTGGAGGGAACTATTTCTTCCTGTGGTCTTTTTCCTAAGCTTGTTGGCGCTATATTAGATAATGAAAACTATACGGACATAGTCAGAAACAAATTGTACAAGAAAAATCATCTTAAGAACCTCTCTGCAAGCCAACGAAAGTTGTTCCATGCTACCGACATGCATTGAGAGCTCGATATGGCCACTGATAACCTAATATATGGTCCTTGTGGAGAATACGGAAGTCATTGGCTTTTCGCCTTTATGGAATTATGTTTGACTAAGAAGAAACACAGAGATATTTCTTCACGTCTAAAGCTGAATCACCCGTGGACATACGATAGATATTGGTATGCGTTATATTATGTTAGAGTATATGGTAGTTAGAGATGTATTAGGATAGGATTGATTTGTATAGATTCCTTCCTTATCTGTAATCCTTCCTTATCTCCTCCTCATGTACTCCTATATATACCGGCCCCCTGAGGCTCAATACAATCGATCCACGTTACGCAGTATATCTCTCTTTCTATACTATCCAACATGGTATCAGAGCGGACGACCTAGAGCCGCCGCTCACCGCTTCCGCTGCCGTCGCCCCCGGGAGATGATCTCGACATCGTGCTTGTCGTAAGAGAGATCAATCTCTTCGGCCAAGGTCGTTCGTCATTGTCGTCGTCAAGCAGCACAGCACTACAGCAGCCGCCGGTCTTGGGTCGCGGCCAGCACCTCGTCCTCCCCGCTCCGCCACGGCGCGCCACTAGCGTGGCCAACGGATCCCCGCGTGCATGGCTGGCATCGCCGTCGTTGGACGCAGCAGGGTACGGGGGGCCCCGTCCGGCCGTCCCCGTCGTCTCCTCTTCCGCCTGGACCGCTGCCTGCGCCCACCAGGCCAGCGCGACCGCCGCGACCGCGTGGATCGGCGCCTTGGATCTCCGCTTCCGCCGCCGGCCGACTTCCTCCAGGACGCCCGCGGCCGGCCGTCTTCCTCCACGATGCCGACACCGTTCCCATCCGCTCGTCTACGTCAAGTCGATCTCCTGCTGCCTTACCTATCGTTCTTTTGACTGTTTCCTTTGCTGTGATCTTGCCGTGGTTAGCAAGTGAGGAGAGAGACAAGATGGGAGCGACAAGATGGGTGCACAGGCTGGTTGACCTGGTCAAGGCCTGCATGGAGAGCTCTAGCCTCTCGACACATGGTGCTTGCTACTGCTGCTATGTATCCATTTTTTTTCCCGATCAGTGATCGGGTTTGCGTCGCCCACCGCCTCGTCGACATCTGTGCGTCTTCGACATCGGCATCGACTCTGCTTCCACTTCATCATCTTGCCCGCGCATCATCGGCTTGATCACCCATTCAAGCGCCTGGCTTCGACAACACCTTGCCGCCAATCGTCTTCGACTACGCATCTACGCCATCAAGCTTCGGGTTGCCGTTGCGTCGTCCCCTTGGGCCGCAGTGCCGCTGCCCGTGGTCCACACCTCCACTGGTTATTGCAGTGCTGAGAGACGCCCTCCTCAGCATGGCTACATCATCGGTGGACTTCTCGTCGTTGCATCGACATGGAGCTGCAACTGTGTTGTCCTCTCGGGACCGCAGCTTCGCCGCTTTTGTCGTCTTCATCGTCATTCGCGCATTGACAACCTCGTCGTCCGTACTGGTCATCGTCAGCCGCTCAGGGTCTTCTTCCTCTACTTTGAGCATCGCCGCCGCATCTCCAAGCTGCCACTGTCGCCACTCTAGGCCGATGGTGCAGCTACCTCTACATGGCTACCGACGTCGCCATCCAGGCCGTTGGTCCCACTACTTCGCCTTCGTCTTCGTCCAACATGATTCATCGCCAGCGTCGTCGTATCTTCCTCGACTACACTTCGCCTTTCTCCGACAACCGCGTGCTGCTCCGGCAATTCTCCCTCTACGCCATTCTCGTGCCGCGACCGTCTTGGAGGTCTTCTCTGCTAGTCTCCTCCGACATTGGCGTATGATTCATGGTGGTCCCCTGTCTCGCCCGCGCGGTATTGGCAACACCGGCGCGCGCGTTTGTCCCGAGTTGTCCCGGGGTCTGGCAAGCCCTGTGTGACGTCTCGTCCTTCGCGGTTCGACTACATCGGCTCTTCGGCATCATCTTCCTCAACGACTGTCGCGATTATGTCACCGTCTTCGTCTCCAGCGCATCCTCGCGCACCTTGGTCCACGACGCCCTCCCGTGCGTCCACGACCACTCTACGGCGCCCCATGCGTGGCCCGCGGCTCGGCAAACTCGGCATCAGCTTCCCGACTTCGGCTACATCGACCACGGCTACTCTACGCACGGCTTCATCGACCACGGCTCTCTCGGCTCCTTCGCTTTGGCTACGTCGACAATGGCATAAAGGGCTATCATCCGTATTGAGCACTCTTGCCGGTTTCTTCTCCAGTCCAAGTGTCCGCGCTGCTCACGCTTGGACTGCGGGGGGATATTAGAGTATATGGTAGTTAGAGATGTATTAGGATAGGATTGATTTGTATGGATTCCTTCCTTATCTGTAATACTTCCTTATCTCCTCCTCATGTACTCCTATATATACCGGCCCCCTGAGGCTCAATACAATCGATCCACGTTACGCAGTATATCTCTCTTTCTATACTATCCAACATATTACGCACTACAATTTCTTCACAATGAATGCTCTTCTTCTACAGCAGAAATTGCTGGCTTAGTAGGAGATGACACATTCCAGGAAACAGTTACTAGCGAGCTGTTCCGCACAACATTAGGCATGATATACAATGCTATCGAAACAGTTGCTGGCTCCAGTTCTCCAACCTCAAACCTATCCCTTATAGAGCTAGTGAAGCTGAAAATAAAGAAATGTACCAATGCATCTAGAAGGAAGGATGATAATGATGATGAAGACACTGACGAAGAAGAAATTGATGATAGTGATGATGAAGGTATTGATGAAGAACAAACTAATGATGCTCGATGTTCTTTTAAAAAATTAAAAGAGTATCTAAATAAGGTTTTTGAGAAGACATATTTGTCACAAAGCATACCGCTTATTCTAGACCCAAGATTCAAGCTCGTCAAAGTTGAATGACTTCTGGAGAATGCTTCCCTACCTCCAGATCGCATTTCGGAGGTTCAAGCAGCAGTCGTTCAGCTCTTTCAGGACTATAGTAATCAGGGCAATGCAAGGGAGCATACCAATCATAACAATGAGAATGTAATGGATATCGATCCCTTCCATCAAATTCATAACAGTACTTTCCAAACTGTTGGTCAACCGAGTATGGAGCATGATCACAGGAGTTCACAGGAAAGCATAACAGAACTCGACGCTTACCTGCGAGAAAAGACCATCCCAATCAAGCAAGAGAATTTCGACATTGTCAAGTGGTGGAAGGAGAACTGTCACAGATATCCGATAGTAGCAAGGATGGTGAGGGATTTCCTGGCCATTCCGACGTCTACCAGGCCAACACCTCAGATGATGACCAAGATCAGAAACCATCTTCGCCGCTATGCGTGACACTACTACTGCAATCAAAGTTATACATGTGCCTTGCTTACCAGCTCTTCAATTCATCGCCTGAACAGTATTTGCATCCACTCATGTCATTTCTAATCTTATATATGCATCCTGTTCTGTTTTAGAGATTAAATGTATTTGTGTTTGATGTGTCGTTCGCGTTGCTTCGTATTTTGTATGGCTGACAATGCTGATGTTAATCTGTGGGTGTTAATCCCCACATAATGTATGTCGACACATTTGTTTTAAAAATTGTTATGGGTTATGGCCCGTAAACCATTCTCACTGTTGGGGTCATTGCTAGCATTAGTCTCTCAAGTATATGTGTAATGTGGTTGAAGAGCAAGGAAGTATTGGAGCCAATGTGTTTACCTCTATCTAAGTTAAAAAAATGGATAAGAGTTCATAAGCCGAAAATGTATGCAGACCTCTGTTTCAGACTGCATCCTCTTCTCTGGTTTTATCAGATTGATATATTTGTTAAACTTTGTTTAGGTCACCTTGAAGGTTTAATCAGAACAATTTTTCCGAAGAAGAAAACAGAACAATTTTAAGCTGTTTATTTTAAGATCTAGACTAAAGCAGGCTCGGATTTGGAGGGGTATCTTGCTGAGTTGATTGCAGTCAATACGTCATATCAATCGAAACCATTCACAATACACTCCTGGGATCTCGGTTACTCCATAATTTTAAATTGAGAGATGCATTATATCTGTTATTACAGTTCAAGAACACTCTTCAAACTCGATAGAAACATGAAAATATAAAGTGAACAACTAATTGTTGGTCCACCGGTCAGGGAAATAACTCTAGCTAATTTTTTTTGGTATATTTATCTTGGGGAATAGGTCCACTTACCGTCCCTTATCTTTATGTCGAGTTTAATTGACATCCTAAATACTAGAAATCTTCACCCTTCATCTTGACAAAATCGTCCAAGCTAGGTCCCATGGCAGTATGGATGGGTAGTTTTATTGACGTGGCATCCTAGTTAGAAAAAAAAATTAAAAAAATATATGGGGCCCACTTGTACATGAGAAGGAAAAAATATGTTGGCCCCACATGTACGTGCCCCACTTCTTTCTTCTATATTTTGCCCTAACCACGTATGCGAGGTCGATAGAGGAGATGTCTTAGTGGTGCTGGGTGGAAAGGGTGTTGGCTCAAGCAGAAGACGAGCCTGAGGCAGTGTGATCCCTGGCTCTGTAGAATGGCGATGATGAGCGGTCATCGGTCAACCGGAGAAGAAACCCGGAGTCCAGTCGAGGTCAAGGCGCCATTGGTTGACGGAGAGGTAGTCGCACTATGGCTGACAAAGGGATCTCTAGGTATTGGATTTAGAGAAGGTGGATGCATCGTCGAGGCTTGGGGGGCATGAGGCTGTCCTTTAGCTACAAAGCCCGACCAAGGTCTAGGCGTCGTCGGCTAGTGGAGAGGAAGTCGTGGTGTGGGGGTTAGGGAGGACAGGTCTTGGAATTGGAGAAGGTTGATACAGCGTCAAGGCTTGGGGGGCAGAAGGTTGTCCATCAGTCGAGGAGCTCGACCGAGGTCGTGGCGTCATTAGTTGGCAGAGTAAATCACGACCATGATATGTGAAGGGGACGGGAGAGGCGGCCAAGTCATGGAGTTGGAGAGGCAGGTGTGGCATCAGGGCTTAGGGGACCGTTGCCACTACATCCTCGGTCGTGGGTGGCAACGACGGGGAACGTGGAGACGGACTCACTCATGGAGCTCAAGGCGGCGCTGGAGTCGTTGATCCTCTTGCTGTCTTCGTGAACGTGAGTCACCGAGGCAGTGACCCATGCAGTTTGCATGTCGGCCCCTCTGCTTCCCTGCCAGGGGCCATGGGTCGGGAACGAGCGGACGATGACCTTGGCCATCGCGCTCCATGACACACGCTGTGTTTGAGCGAGGTTTGGGAGGAGATATGAGTAGAGGAAGAGGATGTATGCCACTTACAAGTGGACCCCACATGTTTTCTAATTTTTTTTCTGACTAGGAAGCCACATCAACAAAACCACTCATTCATACTACCATGGGATCTGACAACGGTTTGACGAGATGGGGGGTGAAGATTTCTGATATTGTGCTCTTGGGATGTTTATTAAACTCGATGTGACGACGAGGGACGGCAAGTGGACTTATTCCTTATATATTGGAGGAGGCCCAATAAGCCTACATGTGTCTCCTCAGTCTCGCAAGAACGGAATTACCAATCCAAGTCCAAACTCAACCGCAACTCCGGCGATGCCGCCGCCGCCGCCGCCGGCCACCGTCCTCGTGACCAACGGCACCGTCTCCCCGCAGGCACCACCCTCCGCGGCCTCCTTCCTCGACTCCACCCCGGGCGCCTACACCACCGCCCGCGCCACCGCCGCCGGTGGCCTCCTCTGGTGGCCGCGCCACCTCCTCCGCCTCGCCGACTCCACCCGCCTCCTCGCCCGCTTCCACCCTCATCTCCTCGGCCTCGCCGCGCCGCCGTCCCGCAAGCCGTTCGAGGACTCGCTGAGAGGGATCGAGCCTCTCGTCAACCGCTCCGTGCGGGTCGCCCTCGACGAGATGCCCGGCGAGGACATGGCGCTCACGGCGTTGCTCAGGGCCTCTCCGGCCGAGGAGGAGTCGGAGCTGGAGGTGTGCGTGCACCTGGGGGCCTACGTGCCTCCGGTCTTCGGAGAGGCCGGGGCGAGGCTTGCCGTCGCTGGGAGGGGAAGGGACGCCGCTGCCGCCAAGTACGCGCCATGGGCCAGGTCGCCTTCCTCTGCTCCTCTTTCCCTTTTGCATTGCCTCTTCGTTACGAGCATTCTAAGTCATTTTGATGCATCACTGTGTGTGTATTGGTGTATGTCATGCAGGATGAGGAAGAGCATGGAGAAGATGAGGCCTCCTGGGGTGACGGAGCTCTTGTTGACAAACGATGGAGACCATATTCTTGAAGGCAGCATCACTAACTTCTTCGTTGTCTGCCGCAGGGTTAGCCTCATGCTAGGATTCGGTTTTCTTGGAATTCAAACAAAGTTATTAGTCCCATGCTATTGGATATCGCCTACCGAAACAACCGAGAAATAAAATAGAGTAGAAGGTCAAACTAAAATAACAGTAGCAATTCGATCGGCAATCGGTATGATTATAATGCACAAGTGAAAGGTGTGCTTTCCACCTATTTGTTTTCATGCCAGTTGGTCCAATTACCCTATGTTTTGGATGCCTCCCTGATAAATGTTGTTGTTTTTTTATCATGTTTCTTCAGGAGGAGGAGCATCCATTGAATAAGCCTTTATCTGTTGAAATGACAGCTAATGAGTTTGAAGTGCAAACAGCTCCACTGGGTGATGGAATTCTCCCTGGTATTATGCGTCAGATAGTGATAGAGTAAGTATCCACTTCTTTCTTCAGTTCTATGTACTGTGATTTGTACTTCTAAATAAAAATAACCAGATGGTGAATAAAAACTCAGGCTACTGATAAAATAGCTCCAACTTGGACTCATGTCTAGGTTTAGATTTTTTCTTTATCTTAATGCGAAGATGTGCAACTCTTTGCAGATTCCCTAGAATGACATAGTTTGGATTACCTTTCCTTCACCTCATGAATTTACATACTAACTAGCATACTAGGTACAGTGACATGCACTAGAAAATTGCATTTGCTTGTTTAAATGAATTCATCGGTGGGAACAATCTATGCTGGGTTTCTAACTGGGGTTTCATATGCTAGAGATAATGTCAAATCCTTATGCCTTGTAACAGAAGTTCTATTTGCTTGGACCAGGGTATGCCATGATATTGGAATCCCATTCCGGGAGGTTTCACCATCGTGGTCCAAACACAAACTTTGGGAAGAGGCCTTTGTTACAAGTAAGGCTAGTCTTTTCCATATCAACGAACTGACCATACCGGGACAACATATTATTATGTAGAGCATGGGTTAATGTTCTGTCTCCAAATTATATTGTACAACAGGTAGCTTAAGGCTTATCCAGCATGTGGAGACTGTTCAAGCTCCTATATTGTGGGAGAACATAGAATCAAAAACCTGGGCCGATGTATCTTGGGAAGTAAAACAATTTCAGGTATGCACTATTTGTTTATCGGTTTCTGAAGTTCTATATTTTGTGGCATTCTGCTTTGTTTATTAACCATAGCAAGGAACTTAAATCAGGGTGCTGGAAGTATTACCACACAGATAAAGGTTAGTTGTCTAACAGACTGTAGATAGCTTTGCTAATTCTGAATCTGTGCCAGACTGATTTCCAAATTATAGTAAACGTTTTTTAAAAATGAATTGTGAGAAAAATTATGTGGTATTGAATTTTCTAGTTGTAAAGCAATTTGATAGCACTCTAAGTGTTATCAAATTGGCAATTCAGTATCTACATTATTTCCACTTGATGATTTATATATTGTTCTTCATGCAGAGGGAAATATCGAAGAGAGCAATACAAGAGGAATATGACATAAAAGATCTCTTGTGAGTTATGAATCCTGTGATTAGTTTAGGGTGATAGATGTGGCTTTACTATTAGTTCAGAGAAGACAATAATGTCTTTGCTGTTATTTTCTTTTCTTTGGCTATGGTGAACTTTGTACTCCATCCGATTGGAGTCTAATAGGCTAATAATCTATCAATTCAGCTGCTTAGTATTTTTTAGACAATGGTGATTATGGTTTTGTGTTTGTTGTGTTCTATATATTTTCTTGGCTATTTTGGGTGCTGGATCAGGTGTTGCATAACATGATGTATTCATCTATCTCCCATTTCATCCGCCTTTGCTCAAGAACTTTGTTTTTCCAGTTAATACATATTTTTATGATAATCCAAATTTTCATAATTGCACCGAAACCGGGAGTACATCAGTGCGTAGTAGTGTATTTCAGCTGATGTGCCATTTATGTTGCTGCTGCTTTGATTAAAAGGAATTAGGAATCTAGTGTATTGCCTGAAATTTTGCAGAGTTAGTTTTGTGGTCTCTTTTGTCAAGATTGTTTAGATTTGTTTTGTTCAGCTTGAGTTGCAAATAAACATGGAACCTCAGTTTGCAGTACTGCAGTGATAAGCCACAGGTGTGTGCGGTGATTTATTTTATGCTGCTGAGGCTTCTTGCCACGTGATGCTTTATCTTCTTTGCTGGCTGAAATAGTAGTGAGTTCCCTACTGGATAATATTTTCATGTTGTTTATTTTCCAAATGATTGTGTGGCATCTCAAATATATTTTTGTAGTTTAATTGCAGATATTTTTGCATCACATCATGGGCTGAAACTCTGCTGTTTATATTACCTCACTACTGGTGGGTCTGGTTGATAGTTGTTTGGTGGATAGGAGAGGAGAGTCCATACTTGCGTGTTGATGTCATTGGGAGCACTGCTGAGTCTTCTCTTCTCTGTTGTGTAAAATAGTATATTTTGCAGCTTCTTGAATTTTCAGGGAAGACAGTGAGATGAGATTCCTTGACTCTTGAGGCCTCTTGGACTGGTGACATGTGTATGCAGATTGCCAGTATGGGCCTGTTTAGTGCACGAAAAGAAAATTTTTGGGTGTCACATCGGACGTTTGACCGGATGTCGGAAGGGATTTTCGGACACGAATGAAAAAACTAATTTCATAACTCGCCTGGAAACCGCGAGATGAATCTTTTGAGCCTAATTAATCCGCTATTAGCACATGTGGGTTACTGGAGCACTTATGGCTAATCATGGACTAATTAGGCTCAAAAGATTCGTCTCGATATTTTCCCCCTAACTGTGCAATTAGTTTTTTAATTTATTATTATTTAATACTCCATGCATGTGTCCAAAGATTCAATGTGATGTTTTTGGGAAAAAGCTTTTGGGAATTAAACAGGGCCTAAATGTGTTTGGCAAGCAGGCAACTAATTCTGTTGTTGCCTCCTGGATTCAGAAAAAGGAAGATGAAATTCTATTGTTCCCTCCGCTACGAATCAATAACTTCTAGTATTTCTAACTGTAGTGGTTGCCACCCCTTCTTCCACAAGCTTTCAAATTCAAAACCTCCAAATGTGCTTTAGTCAGTGGGTCATGTAATTAGAAATCAATTTTGAATTTGAGGTGTTACAGCTTCCAAGTAAGACTTTAACACTATTTTCAAGGGAAATTTTGTTTTCAACTCATGGAATCTCACCTTTCACTTTTGATGATATGTAAGGTGAGGAGGTGGATAATGCCTAGTAGCAATATCATGCAAGGGGAAAGGAAAGGGGAAATATCATCTAGGTGATGTTATGGTGAAAACTCTGGTTTATGGATGTGCCATGGAGAGCGTTCACTATTTTGTACGCCATCAGATGTATTCAACCTGTACATAACTGAGGTTTGGAAGGCAAGGTGTTAAGGTCAGCTTCTATTCTTTCTCATCCTATTGCAGTTGTACATAATATGGTTTGTTTAATATTTGTTGATCTGTTGCAGAGCATGCTTTGAACTACAAAGTACTGCCCATGGATACCCAGTGCTATCCTTCTGAGGTTTTTATTTCTCAGACCTGATTGTCTCTTTACATGATGTAGGCAGTCAGAAAGATAGTTTCACTAAAGATGAGATAATCTCAGTATACACAAAGGTAAGCAGAAGGAAGCTCCACGGTTGCCCATTTTGCTGTTGCAATCCTACTATTACTGGTACTATATACGGCTATTTGGTTTCGGGAATCCATACTTTTATCTACTTTTTTCCAGACTATGCATGATCTATTTATGTACACGTCTAATCAGTACAGTTTGGTGAACTGTTATTTATGGAGGTATACTTTGCGAATACTTTTGGTAGTTTCTGCTCCAGAGGATGATTTCTCATGCAGTGCAATGGTTGAAGCTAAACATACAATCAAGACATGAAATAAGTACCATGTGTTAAAAAGTCAAAGTATTTTATACTACTGAATTATTGGGACGTGTTGATTGGAGCAGAGCAGAGCAATGCTAGCTGGTCTTCTCTTCCTAGAATTTTTTACATTTAACCCTTTTTTAAAAATAATTTACAAATAGGCCCCTAGAGAACTAATTCTAGGAATATATCCATTTTTTGGGTAAAAAGGGTTAAAATGTAAATATTTTTTCATTACAAATAGGCCCTCAATGCTAGCCTCTATGGTGCTGAGGATCTATTTGTAAGAAAAATATTTACATTATGACCCTTTCTTAAAAAAATTAGTTTATATGTAAGGTTTTCGGCATCCATCTCTTTGGTGCTGATTGATCCGATCCCTCTACATCTTGGCTTCTAGAGGGGTGAGGGTATCGGTGCTAGCCTTGTTGGGTGCCAAGGGCGCCAAGGTCACCGGCACCGAGAAGAAAATGGTTTATTCCTGGAATAAGCTTTTTAGGTTCAATTTGTAAACTAAGTTTTTAAAAGGGTCGAAATGTAAAAAAATCCGGTCATCTGATCTTCTCTTCTCTCGTCGTGTATAACTGAAGTCCATGGAGAGAAGTATAATTTGCATGTCCAAACCGAATCAATCGTCTGTGCCAACGTGATGCAAGTCTACACCAACCCAACGGCCCGTAACGGATGCGTACGTATACGCATGTACTCCGTATGTACGTATATCACGGCTAGTTATTATGCAATTGCCCTTGTACGAACCTGACAGCAGCAATACGGACGTGTATGCACGATGTGCACGTTTACGTTTGTACGTCATCTATCGACATTCGACAGTGTAAATGTGGTTGGCAATGAAAATTTGGTAAGCAAATCAAATTAAAGCCCAAACACTCGAACAAATGTTGGTAGCAAACAAAATGAGCATATCTATACTCGTTAAAAAAAAAACAAGTGATGGTGGTGAGTGGTGAAGTTGTCATCAACCCGCTGTTCATAAAATTAAAATTAGTGAATCTGCAACTACTTACCACTTGTTATCATTATTAGCTAACACATAGGGGTTACTGAACAGTGATATGTCACTACTTACCACTGTTATCATTATTAGCTGACACTGAACAGTGACGTATGTCCATTTATTTCGAAGCTACAGAGAATTGGGGAAAAAAACTACTACGGATGCATCTTTCGAATTGCGTTTAATCTTATTCGTCCCTTTTTTTTCCAACGAAAGGCTTACCTTTTTTTTCTAGCAAATTAAAGGCAACCTTGGGCATGTTATATTTTACTTGTATTAAGTAAAATAAGAACCAGTAAACAAAAAGATAGAGCCTTCTTTTCCATCACATTCATCGTAATCATAGTCACTCTATGTTGTTTCACATCCCCACCGATCTTATCGTTGGTGGAAGAGAGGGCATATAGAGAATCAATCAAAATTTGGACAAACTACAATTTCACAATGGCTTTTGAATACCACAATAGTCGTCCATTTCGAAAAACAGATCCAATAGAACCGCTGAAGATGCTATTGTAAAATAGCTATGATAGATGAATGGTACGTATTTTTCTTGGCCAAGCAATACCTCGTAAAATCGATCCTTAAGTTCGCACCGAACAATTCCGGAGATTGCATTCACCGGACTATTGTTACAGATTATACGTACTCAACTACATGAATAAATTAATATAAATATTCTAAAAATTAAACTTAACAAATAGATTAGAACAAATCATCCCAATAATACGGTAAAGTTTTTTTGACAAAAAAAAGAAAATATACCTTTTCTAAAAATATTTTGTGTTTATATACATGCATAAAAAACATTTACATAAATATACCTCCTCTACGCAACGGGGACGCGGGACTGAGGCGGTGCCGCTCTTCCATTCCGCGGGACCGGCTGTCGCGCAGGACAGCCGTGCGGTACCGCCTCGCTTCCGCAGCACGGGAGAGCAACAGCGTAGTGAAGGGCGGTCGCACGCTGTCCTAAGGCGGTCGTGCGGCGCCGTTCCGCGGGACCGAGCCAGCCGTGCGGCGCTGTGGCGCGGGACCATAGCAGTCGCATAGCGCCGTCGTGCGGCACCCGTGCCAGTCGCACGCAGGACCGCCCTGCACCGCGCTGCCGCTCTCCCGGGCTGCGTGAGTGAGGCGGTGCCGCACGGCCGTCCTGTGCGACCGCCGGTCCTGTGGAATGGAAGAGCGGCACCGCCTCAGTCCCACGTCCCCGTTGTGTGGATGAGGTATATTTGTGCAAATATTTTCCACGCATGTATATAAACACAAAATATTGAAAAAAAGGTATATTTTCAAATTGTATTCAAAGTTTTTTTTTAAGAAAACATACTTTTTTATCCGGTGGAGTAGCTGAAAAGAACGTGACCGTTGTGAGGCACCAGGAACTGATCATAGGAACCGGATGGCTCACCACTTGTTGGTATACCTTCAACTCGATCCGCAAGTAATCCGCGCATATATAAATAAACAAACCAGCATACGTGATGGTCGCCATGGACGCCCATCCACTTGTCACGCACCATACACACACACATTCAGATCGAGACGACGCGGGAGCTAGAGATCGCGAGAGGAAGGCGTCGTCAAGAACATGAGACGCATTTGCATATGCATACACACACGTATCCATGCAGCAAGTGACGTACGCGTGAAGATCATATCGAGCCATGACCTGACCGGCCAGCACTACCTGCAGCATCCATGATCCATGCATGTCTTCTGGCCGGGGCCCACTTGCTGACAACGCAGTTAGTTCGCCGAAGCCAACAAGCCAAGCAAACGGCATGGAGGGAGATGGACGTACGGCGTCACCGCCGCGTCGACGGACGGTCGGTCCAGGGAAGGCTTCTTGCACCGGAAGAAGCTGTTTCATCTGACATGATTGCCTCTTGTCTTCATCCCTCCCAAATCTCTCTCCTTTCCGTTGCTACCTACAGCTACAAGCCACGGCACAGAGCAGTAGACTTGCAAGCCATCCATTCCATGCATCCATCCATCCATGCATTTGTATGCTAGAGCAGTAGAGCCTAGAGATGGCTCTGGCTGGATGGAATGGACGGATGGTTGGTTGGTTGGATGGATGACGTTGCTGTGGCCGGCTGTTTCCACATAAATCCGGCGTCAGGTTTGCATTGGTTTCTACCTATTTCAATTCATCCCCTCTCTCTGGCTACGACTCTACCTCACATGCCCCACGCATCGTTTGCACTAGCTTGCGGGGTAGATCTCTCTCGACGGCTCTCTCCTCTCCGTCTGTCTATAGCTACTATTAAAGGAGGGGAGGCTCTCCTCCTTCTCCCCCTCCTGCTCCTGCTCCTCCTCTTCTTCATCGTTTCGCTTAGCTTTTCTTTCTTCTTCGTCGTCTCGGTTCACTCCTCCGTTCGATCGACTTTGCTTGTTTCAAGCAAGCTAGATCTCTCACCAACAGGTACTTATGTTTCTCCGGCGTCTTCGCTTTCTCCCCTTTTTTTTTGTTGAAAAGATCTTCGCTTTCTTCTTTTGATTGTATATATATATATATATATAGTCTTGTTGGTAGTCTTCAAGAAGTTTGATTTAACTATTTCTTGATCTATTTGCGACTAGATTCTATATATACGCAAGAGTATTACATGTATTTGTATGTGTTTCACTTCATTCGGTTGTTCTTTTGCATCTACATGAACACATATGGGTTCCTATATATCTAGCTATGGATCGATCTTGGTATGCGTACAAAAATTCATAGTCCAGCACCATCTACCTATATATCTAGGATTCTAGGGTGGTGTTCAGCTAGCATGATCTCAAATCGATTTGTTTCTTTTGCTCGGTCTATGGTTCAATTACTTGTAAAAGTTTCGAAAGAAATCAACGCTGCATCCAAATGATTTGGTATTCCCTTTATTATAGTTTAATTTTGAAACCTCTTCATCTCTTGATTTTGCGGTGAGCGATCAATAAGTACGCTATTTCAAAAAAAATCCTCATATTATTCCTTGTTCATCCATGTATGCACGAGAATTCTGTAGCTAGTTGTCACACGCATAGATTTGTCGCGCATAGAAAATAAGTCTTACTAGGAATTGTCTTATCTCGTCAGTTTTGGTCGTACGCAAGCAACAGTTATGAAACAGTCCAAGAAAATAAGCCGTAACGTGTTTCCTCGAATCGCGGGTGGACAGAAAGCTAAAAATAATCGAATTAACGCCTATTTTGTCACATATTAAATTAAGCATATTAATTTCCTCCAAAGAAATTTGTGTTCAATTTCTTGCGCTAAGTCCGCGTGAAAAAAAAAGGAATCAACCTCCCTATTCTAGCACTCATTTCTATTTCAAAATATGGAAAGGAAATGAAAGAAAGCAAAATCCCACATATGATTATACTTGGTTTTCATAGGGTAACATAATTAATTAATTGTTTGATCACACACAAACAAACACACACACACACACACACACACACACAAATATAAACACACACATAAACTATGCTTTGAACTATTGTGGCTATTGCTGGTTGTAGAAAATCAACCATATTAATTCCAGTGTTCATTTTTATTTGAAAATATGGAAAAGGAATGAAAGAAAAGAAAGAACCACTCCCACCATATGATTGTATGTTGTGATAGAAAATAAGGTCTTGGTAGGAATTCTCTTCACATCAATTTTGGTTTCGTAGGCAAGTAACAGTTATGAAACAATCCAAGAAAAATAAGACGCAACATATTTCCTTAAATCGTGGGTGGCAGAAAGATTAAAATACCGTTGAATTAATGCCTATTTTGTCGCATATTAAATTAAACCTATTAATTTCCTAAAAAAAACAGTGCGTGTTCAAGTTGTTGGTCTAGATCCGAGTGAAAAAGAATCAACCTCCTCATATTGATGTTCATTTTATTAAAAAAGATAGAAAAAAAGACAGAAAACAAAGGACCACTCCCACACCATATGATTGTAAGATTGTTGTTGAAGTTTTCATATGGTAATGTAATTAATTAACTATGTGATCATATTCATTTATATACCATGCTTCATGTGTTTTGCATAGGATCTCTACTGGTAGCTAGTAGAATCAACTTATTCATTTCACCTTCTCTATAATCCAATAAATCATACTATATCTTTATACTACCATCTCAAATAATATCGGTAATAGAATAATTTTTTTAACAATAGTAGAACTCATATATCAACTATTGAGATATCACATTATCGCTTCTATGTTTATACCTACGATAATACCAATAATAAAATGCTACCAGTAGAGACCACCGTAGAGACACTCACCGTGCTTAATTTTGAACCATTATGGCTATTGTGTGCAGGAGGTGATCAATGGCGAGCGGCGGCGCATTATCCCCGGTGGAGGAGAAGCCCACGGTGGTGAAGACGACCAAGGCGGAGCAGCACGAGGAGGAGGCGGCGGTGGCGGTGAAGAGCGCGGCGGAGATGATGAAGAAGAGCAGCCCGTGCTGCCCCCGGTGCAACTCCATCAAGACCAAGTTCTGCTACTACAACAACTACAGCATGGCGCAGCCGCGCTACTTCTGCCGCGAGTGCCGCCGCTACTGGACCCAGGGCGGCTCCCTCCGCAACGTCCCCGTCGGCGGCGGCTGCCGCAAGAGCAAGCGCTCGTCGGCCTCGTCGGCGTCGGCGTCGGCGGCGTCTCCTCCTGCTCCTGCGGTGGGCGCCGCGCCACCGGTGGTGCCGGCGCTGTCGTCGGCGATCAGCAAGCTGCTGCAGTCGGAGCCCATGGCGGCGCCGTGCGCGGACTTCCCCAACGTGCTCCCGACCTTCGTGTCCACCGGGTTCGAGCTCCCCGCCGCCGCCGGCGACCGCCTCTCGCTGGGGTCGTTCGGGGCGTTCGGCAACCTGTCGGCGGCGGTGGCGGCTCCCGGCGGTGGTGGTGGGTCGTCGACGACCACGTCGTTCATGGACATGCTGAGGGGAGTTGGAGGGCTTTTCGACGGCGTCGGCAACAGCCATCAGATGGGCGGCAATGGCGGCGGCGGAGGCAGCTACTACGCGCCTCTCATCACCGGCGCCGGCAATGGCATGCTGATGCCGCCGCCGCCGCTGCCGCCATTTTCTGGTTCTCTGATGCAGCATGGGATGCAGGGGCTGTTCGCCAATCATGCGATGGGAGGAGGTGGTGGTGGAGTGATGAACGCCGGCGAGGACGGCAGCGTGATGGCGGGGCTGGGAGGAGGCCAGTGGCCGCCGGCGCTTGGTGGTGCAGACGAGCAGCAGGGCGGCGGCGACGGTGGCGAAGCTGTGATGACGAAGGACACCGGCGGCGGCGCATCGTCGTCGGCGTCGAGGCCGGACTACTTCTACGGCTGGAACAGCGCCGCCGGCGGCGTCGTCGCTGGAGGCGGCATCGGCGGCAACGCCGCCGCTGCCACCGGAGCAACGCCATGGCAGGGCCTCATCGACAGCAGCTCGGCCATGATGTAAGCTCAATCAAATCAACCATGCCAAGGTTGGAGAGAGATCTCATCCAGAAGTTGTTGCTAGCTTCTTGGAATGATTTTTCTTCAGCTTCATCGATCGCTTTAGTTCGTTTTTTATCCGTGGATCAAATTAGTTCGCTCTTTGGAAAAATTCGTCGAAACAGTTTTAAATTTTGCTAGACAAATGAATGTCGTCGTCGTCATCGTCGCTCGTTTACCTGTAATTAGCTTGGAGTTGGGGTTGTTTGATTGACCTCATGGAACCATGCAAAAGGTTCTCATGTTTAAGGGGAGTTAATTAAATGTACATCATTGGTCGTGACATTGCTTAATTGCCGTTGGTTTGTTTCTTAATTTGCTTCTCTATTTTTAAAGTTTTCGGTAATTTAGTTAATTAGTTCATGTATGGAAGTTAAATAGGATTGAACAAGAGCTTTTTATAGGGCGACAGACATTTTTTAAGGGCACACATTTTTTCCCCTTACCTCCTGTGCTTAGACATTTACTGAAAATTTTGCACAAGAATTCTCTGTACTCTATTCTTGCATGTTTGTAGAGTAATCTTTCATGTATTAATCTATCTTGTTGATTTTTTTGAATTTTTTTATAATCATTTGAATGACATGCCAACAACAACGAGGGGATCTCCTCTTGACAGTAGAATTGTTCCTCTATTTGAAGAGCTGGAGATTAAAAGGCAAATAGTAAGATTTTGGAAAAAAGAAAATCAGGTGTTTGTCGTCTCTTGGTACTAAACTATTGATGAGTAGTGGTCGGCGTACTAGTTCATGGTCCGCGTGTTCGGCAGCGGGGTTGAGAGCAGTGATCACACTAATCTCACCGATGAACAAAGAGCAAATTACCCAAATTCAGGCCTCCCCTAAGATAACGATCCTATTCATGCTCAGATATATTGTTGTGGAATGGATGAGTGTTACAACTTAGCCATTTCATGATTGTGCGAGTGTGTTGTACTTTCCTGTCTTTCTCCCTCTTTAGTGGGTGTTGTGTGCCCCTTATATACATATGGAGGGCGTGAAAGCATATGCCACAATGCCAGCAGCCACCCATGCCACTTTTGCCTATACTACCATGTCCTTTGTCATGGTGTACCCATGGGTTCCCGATTCATCGATCGGGCTATGTCGAATGGCACACATGCTTTATATGATCTTACGAAACCTGGGCAGGTGATGATGGTTGGGTTAGGTGTGTTAGATGGACCAAATCGCTTGCATTCAATAGGGAATGACTCCGTGGTAAACATAGGCATTTAATGTGAAATGACGGGGTACGCTAGCGTATACTATGCCCACCCATCCTCCTTAACTAGGAGGCCATCGAGAATAGTCACGCTATTGAAGAGGTGGCCGCGAGACTGTGCGGGGGCCCACTCTACTTGGTGGTTGCTCCGCTACCATGCTTGGCTGTCTCTATCGACCACTTCTAGCTAGTTTTGGTCGCTATTGTAGTTGTGGTTACGATCTCATGAGCCTCTAGAGTGATCATCTCTTGGTTAGGCCCACTACCACGCAGACCACACTATTTGTTGGTTCCTATGATAAGGGTGTAAATCATGCCCTCCAAGATAACCAGGAGGTGCACATGGTACCTCGTACCCGTGGCGCTGATATAATTCATTTTTGAAGTGCAAATTTGGACTGTTTGGAAAGAGCTGAAGATTCTTGGAGTGATCACAGCTCCCAAAAGCCCTCCAAAGGAGGCCTTGAATATAGATGTATTGCCAGATCTTCTGAAATTGGACAATGGTAAAATGGTATAAAAAACCTAGAAGGAAGAATTGTGCCCTTGTTTGATGAAGAAAGTAGGATATCATTTTTGAGCTTTGTCATGTGTGTCCATGGAGAATATTTTTGTGCTTTAGACATTTTTGTGCTTGAACATTTTTGTGCTTCTCCATGGACACACATTTTTTGTCTTGCGGCAATGTCAGGCTTCTCTACCCACAGGGTGCTGACATCCCCTTACTTGGCTTGCAAGCTTTGGGAAAAGGAGATGAAGCAACAGAACATTGGTGTTGGACAACAGATAAGCTCAAAAGCCTGGTAGAGTGCAGCACGAGTGGATTGGTAATGGGATAAAGTCCATTTTTACTCCCTCATCTATTAGTCGAAATCTAATTCATATCCCACAACCACAAGAGATATAATGGCTCCCTTAACTATCAAGACTAGCTCATTTTTTACTCTCCAAGCAGTTTGGACAGTGGTTTTGTCCTACATTGCACTTACGTGCCCCATTAACGGTCAGCAACTAAAAATAAAAGATATAGAGGCCCCACATGTCAATCTCTCAAGGGAAAAATATTAAAGTAAAACAGGACCTATGTGTCAACCTAAAGAGCTCTTCTTACTTCTCTCTCCCCTTCCCCCCCCCCCAACAACCCCTCTCTCTGTTGTCCAGGAGCTTTGGAGATGGAGCAGAGGGAGGTGGTGCGCTACAGGAGGGGGGCCTACTGTGGGCAGTGAAGAGGTCCCTGGATGCGGCATGCGTTGGGAGGTGTCAGAGGTGGTCTAAGGTCGTGTCGTTGTCGTAGAGAGATTCGAGTATCTGGGGGTGAAGGCGGAGGTCTCCTGATGCTCAGGCCGGCAGCGGGCAAGGAGGGGCAAAGTGACATGGAGAGCCCCATTCCCTCAATGATGGCAGAGTCCCAGGGTCTAGACGGTAGCCACCACGCACTTAGCGCATCAAGGGTGAAAGAGGTGACAACGAAGAACTAGAAGAGCATCAAGCCCCCGTGGAGCCCTCCCCAAAGTGGTAGCGGAGACAGCGGTGGGGGTGGTCCCTTGGTGACGGCGGAGGCTGGTAGCAGATTGAGCAACACTTCATGAAATCTAGCTGCCCCTGACATGGCAGCAAGGAAGGGGATGTCAGCACCCTGTGGGTAGAGAAGCCTGACATTGCCGCAGAGACACACACCTTGTGGTAGGTGGATCCGGAGGTCAGGGAGGATAGGTGCTCTTGTCACACACGCTTGGCGGGCAGCCTTGCGTGCAGCTACTACAGGCATGATGGCTAGGTCAGTGTTGTGGATCCGCTTTCTCAAGGACACCATGAAGAGGAAGGAGGGAGAACGGGGAGTGAACGCCTTCACCCACCGCATACGGCTCCCTTTCATGGCCCCAACGGATGTGTGATGTCCTTGCTTGTGATGAGGGCGATTGGGAGTAGGGTTTACTTTTTAAGTTTAGTTGATTTGATCGGAGGTCACCGATATACCAAAATTTTGATCCGAAATTTCTAAAATTTTGAACAAAATTTAGTTAAGTTTGAACAAATATTACCAAAATTCACGAAAAATTAAAAAAACTTAGCCGAAATAATATCGTATCGGAGGGGTCCGAAATGACAAAAATTTCCGAAATTTCCAACCCTGATTGGGAGTGTGCCTCCTCCTCTCACCACTACCACCACCGTCGGTACTCTTCGCTGCTACTGTCGTAGATAATCATGTTGTTTCCTCCATCTAATGCTGATGATGTGGGTGACGCAACGAAGACCACACCCACCATTTTTTTTAATCTTTGTCCGAATTTAGTTGCCACGTAAGCACCATGTTAGCATGGGGGACCAAGTCAATATGCCGCGTAGGATAAAACCACTTTCAAAATTGCTCAGGGTGGCAAAATAAGCCAGTTTGAACAGTTAAAAGACTTAAAGGTGACAATGTACATGGTTTTAAGGTTAACATATATGAATTAAATTGAGATCATAATTGAGGGAGTCAAAATGAACCTTTCCATTGCTAACGATATTTACTGGATGCAGTACGACGAAGGGCATATACATGTGGATTATCTCTCTTTCTCTCGCGATCATGCTAGCGAGATTCATTGAAGTACTTGGGGAGATCATGTTTTTTTAATATAGCTGAATGATTTATTATAACTATTTGAGAGTATAGACGAATAAAATCGATGGAGAATTGGAAATGTCTTTGTAGCTTGCGCCGCAGCGACATATGGCAGTGGTGCGGCGAAACGTGTGGCCCACAGTTTACTTTTTTCAGCTAAAACAGAATAGTGTACCTCCCTTCTCTCCTGCTTCTAGTTGAATCGTCTCCCTCAACCGTAAAACCATGTATAATATCTCCCTCATCCTCGAAAACCCCCAAACCAACTCCTTTGCTGGTTTTGGAGACGATTCTGACGAACGTAGAGCCCATGTTAGTGAGCCGGAAATGGACTATGGCTAACGTACTGGCCACGTTACTTTTGGGCCGATACTACTGTTTCTTACGCAAGGGCCATAGTAGTTTGGGCCAGAACAGAACAGTGACTGACGTTCGGCCCATATTAATTTGGGGCCTAGTGCGGACGCTCGGGCCACGAGCAAAACCCACATGAAAGCAAGCCCAGCCCGGATGGAGTTGGGCGACGGACATGTGGGCCATGTCTTCCTGACTGTGAAGTGTAACTGGAACAAGGCGAACCTCATGGCCAGTGGCGAGTCACTGTATCACTCGATTATTCCTCCTAATTAGAATCAGCCTTGCGCATTTTTTGAGGGTCAAATTGCCCTTGCACTTATCTTCAAGAAGGCGTGCCTGCCGTTCTTTTTTTTTTCTTTAGCAATCACGGAGTACAAACATAGACGCTATACACCCACCCTATGAATATGTACACGCACATCCTCCCTTTATAAATACCTCAAAAAAACTGAGCTGGCATATTTTAAAATTAATGAAATTAACATGGGTGACTCGTTTTTCTTTTTTTTTTTTGACAAATACATCACCTATCATAGAAAATAAATAGACATAAATACGAGTATCGGTGTCAAAGTTTAGTTTCACCACAGTTAATCTACGCTAGCTTACTCCGCGTGTGTGTGCCGTTCTGTTTATACGCGCTTCCAAGGAGCACATGACTAGGGATGAAAACGGGTCGAATACGGTCGGAAACTAGCTATATCGTATTCGTTTTCATTTTTTTTTTGGAATCGGAATCGGATACGAATACCCGGATATGAAAACAGAATCAAATATTATCAAATACAAATACGGAGCAAATATGAAGCGAAACGAATACGGTGACGAATATTAATCGGAATATAAAAACCCCTCAAACTAAGCATCACAAATCAACGAAGAAATATAACTCATTATTTTTTCTAATAGAACATATCAACATTTTCAAAATTTAGCAATTAATAATAAACAACCACAAACTTGGACATACTGATATTATGAAATACCATCCATCATCATGTGAAGTGAAAAGGCAAAGCACTACTAGGCATGCCAGATACTGTCAACCAATCTTTTTAGTCTAAACTCTGAAGTCTGCAATGCTGAGTTGGTGTTGCAATGCTGCTACACTCGCACTGCATAAGCTGAAGCTGCTGCTGCTACTTGCATGAGAGGAATTCATCACAAATCTGCCACATAACACATATACACAAAACAAAATCAAATCAGTGAGGAGCTCTACAAATCAAATCAGTGAGGACTCTACAAGTCATACCAAATCTTGGGGCTTGACGGTGAGGCAGGCGAGGAGGCGATGGGGCGCCGCGGCGGCGGCGTTGGTTGGCTTGGCCCGGCGGCGGCGATGTGGCGCGTGACGGCGCGAGGAGGCAATGGGGCGCGGCAGAGCCGGCGTGGGTTGCTCCGATGGCGGCGATGTGGCGACTGGGCGAGGAGGCGATTGGTCCCGGCGGCGGCGGCGGCTTGGCCCCGCAGCGAGGAGGCGACGACGGCTTGGCCCCACGGCGGCGCCGGCCGATGAGGAGGTGAGGAATCGTGCGCCTGTGGGACTCTGTCTGGGACTGGACGGTGGGAGACTGGGAGTGGACTGGATCTGAATGGATGGAGAATTGGAGACTTCTAGGGTTTCTTGTAAGTCGGATATCGGTGAAAAAAACCGGATAGTTTCCGACCGTTATCCGATTCCGCGGATATCATCTATATCATATTCGTTTTCGTATCCGCAAAAAAATATTCGTATTCGTTTCCATATCCGAAAATTTCCGAATATATCCGACCGAAACTATCCGTATTCGAAAAATGGTCCGGTCGGTCGGAAATTATCCGAATCACTTTCAACCCTACACATGACAAGCTTATAGATGACAAGCTTAGTAATTCGAGATGAACAAACTTGAATTGAAACATTTAGAAAGAAGTTCATACGGCATTCAGACTGTCTGTATACACATGCTTATAGAACAGTAGGCCAGTAGCTAGCAGAACTCCGATATTAACCTTATCAAACTGAAACTAGTACTAATAATTTGACAAAACTAGAAGAGAAAAAAAAACAAGAATTCGCCTGCTTAATTAATCAAGAAGCAGATACTACATTACATATAGCTAAAAAATTTCTACATAGAAAACTTGAGAAGATCTGCAGCTTCCAACCCGAGGTAATGGTGGAACGGCAACCTCTGCAACGACGAGGCGGCGTCCATGGCCATCTGCTGCTGCTGCTGATGCGCTCCGGCGACCTTGCCATGGAAGAGCTGGTCGAGGTTCTGGTGCGACGCCAGGAGCTTGTCAAGGATCGACCAGTCGGCGGCGGCGCCGAAGCGGCCGCCGTCGACGCCGCCGCCGCTCATCAGCAGCATCTCGCCACCGGATGTCGCTGCCATCTTCATCGTCATCATGTTCTGCGAGCCGCAGCCGGCGGCGTCGAGCGGGTTCATGGAGGCGAACGCGACATGGCCGCCGCCGCCGCCGCCGCACGGCGCCGCGTCGGCGCTGGCGAGCTGCGGGAGGTGCATGGAGGCTTCGAACGCCGGGACGACGAAGCCGCCGCCATGGGCGCCGTGCGCGACGAGCTGCTCTTGGAGGAGCACGTGCTTCTGGTCGACCGGCGACGACGACATGCCCGCGCCGTGGAGCAGCTGGTACCGGAGCTCGTCCTCGTCGGCCGCCGCCGCCATGTCCGGCTGGTCGAAGCCCCTCTGATGGATGCTCTTCTTCTTGAATACCCTACACACCACCCATCCTTCCTCCTGCACGCATCCAATGCAACATTCCAAGAAACCGCCATTAATCAGAGCTCAACTCTACTTGATCTAAACTATCTAGCTTGAAATCGATTAGAATGGTGATGGTGCTTACCGGGACGTCGACATTGTCGTCGTCGAGGCGGTACTCGTGCATGATCCAGTCGGTCTTCTTGCCGTGCGGGGCCCTTCCGGTGTAGAACACCAGCGTCTTCCTCAGGCCAATCCTCGTGCCGCCGCCGCTGCCGAGGAAGATGGCCTTGTCACGGCCGGTGGCCTTCCAGAAGCCGGCCACCGTGGCGCGGTTGGTCCTCGTCCCCGTCGGGTACTTCTTGTCCTTGTGGCTGAAGAAGTACCACTCCTCCTGCGCCCCCGTCCCAATCCTGCATCGATCTGCATCAATGCAACCATATATATGTTAATCAATATATTCATAAAGTTAAATTTAAAATCGTTAGGTGATTTTGTGAAAAAAATTAAGCACCAACACAACATATACATTTGTAAGTTTGTTCATTTTCTAAAGAAGTGCTAGTTAATTAATTAGCAAGCATATGTGTTTATACCTTTGAGATCCCAAGGCTCAAGCTTGTTGAGGTCAATCTCCCTGATGACGTCGAGATCTATGGCCTCATAAGCAACCTTCTTCCTCAGGTAGTAGTAGAGCAATTCCTCGTCCGTCGGATGGAACCGGAAACCCGGTGGCACGGCCAGCGGCGCGCCATTAGGATGCATTTTTTTTTTCACTCTGAGAAATACCCACAAATTCACAATGCATCAGAAAACTCATGCATTTAGCAAGTTTACTTAACCTTAATTCAGTAAAGAAACTTACAAGTCCTTATATAAGTTTCTAACTGGACAGGATAAAGTGTATATGCATGCAAATCTATACCTTGGAAAGGCACACAAACAGCTTCTTTTGCTTGGTTTTTCTCAGCTTGGAAGCAACAGGTAGCTAAGCTAGAGACAGGAAAGAAAGCCAAGATGGGAGTGAAAGGTTGTGTTTGTGATGTTGCACACAAGAGAAAGGAGATGATGTAGTTTGTGTTATATAAAGGAGAGCTTGGGGGAGACCAGCAGAGATAGCTAGGGTTTGGGAACTTGAGATGATCTGATTTGAGATGCTCACCCAAAGGACATGACATGGGGTTATATAAAGTAGTACTATGGCATGTAGGGAGAGTGATGGAGATTAGCTGTTGTGAATAATGATTTGATTTGTGCATGGTCAGTCAGTGACAGTGTGTTTGCATTGGTCATGGCCGGTTTTGGAAGGACTAAAGGAAAGGAGGAGCGTTGTCTTTGGACCAGGGGACGCACCGGCCACAAAAATGGCCTCATAAGGAGCAATGACATGTCTCCATCTGCAAATAGTGATGATCTTTTTTTGCATATATGCCCTCTCTAGAGATCATTAATTGCTACGTGCAATGTAGTATATATTTTCTTGAAGCTTAATTTGTTTTATTGTGCGTGACAACTGACAGAGAGCTAGCCAAATAGGTTTGGATTTATTCCTTGAAAGGAGAAGACGTTAGGTTCTATATGATATGATGGTCCATGCGCATGCATGTGTAAAGTTTTATATATAGTTCATAAATAAACTAAAACAACTTTAGATCATCCTTTGACCAGCCTTGTGGGAGTCAGGGAATTAAGCCCTGCATTCCATTATTCCATATTCCATTTCTATTCTCTCTTCTATTCCCTACATGTTGTTCATTATCTATTCCTAAAGGCTACTAGTAATTTGTTATTGTTTCAAGTGAGGATTCAACTTTTGCATTGGTTATCACTCATAATAATTTACTTATCCCAAGTAGAGATCTTGTGATGGTTCAAACATTGCGGTTAGCGCGCGTGTGATACGATCTGAAATTATATTCAAACCTGATATTTGACTTCTTGTGAATTAAATGGGGGGTCATGTGACAATTAAAAACCCATTTTAATTTGTCATCCGTTGAATGATAAATGCCACATCGATTTTTTAAGTACAATTGGATACATATAAATATGTAAATAAATGCACCGTATTATAGCTACTACACACACTCATACACATCGATTCTCTACACATGCCTGAATATTGTCATAGGCATCAAAATGCATGGAAAAAAATTTAGCATTTGAACCCTCGTGAGTTGGTTGAAGATACCTCAAAATTAACCTAGCCATTAAGCTAGCTTAATTCCAACAAATGCCACACATCATATTCGGTTTCTAACTAAGTGTGTACTGCTTAATTGGTTTGTGTTGCCAGATATTAACTATTTTCTCATATGAGGTGTTTTACAATGATCTCTAGTGGTAGTAGAAATAAATCTATACCATTTATCTTTTCTAATCTAATGGATCATATCTAATTATACTTTCATCTCAATTATTGGTAATAGAATTTCTTTTTTATTTACATATAGTAAGAATGTTGAAGTCACTTCTACTAGCTATAATACCCATAGAGACCACCCTTGGTACTCTTTCCCTATATATTTTGGCTATAAGTTTATCTTTGGAAGAGCTTTTATGGTAGCCTAACTACTACTACCTCCGTCCCAAAATATAACAACTTTTATTTATGAATCTAGACACATAGTTGTCTAGCATTTATAGCTAAAATACTTATATTTGAGACGGATGGAGTAGCTAGTATAGTAGAATAAAATGATCTTAATTGATTGTTGATTTATAAATTGTACGTACTATACCAGTAGTTGGGGTAGCATAGGAGTACTATATATTATACTCCGGTGCTCTCTATTTATAGTATTATATCACTAGTACGTATTATTAGGGGTAAATTAGTAATTTACTAATACAATGATTAAGAATTACTTTGTCATTTATGTTTTTTCCTAGCTAAATCGATATATCATCCATTGCGCTAGCATCACTCGTATTTCATCGAAAAAGCCAAAAAAAGGAAAAAAAAAAGTTTAGTCACTGCTAAATGACAATTATATCTCCCCACACCTTTTTTTTTACAATAATATCCCTCCATGTCTCTACTACCGCTAACTAGATGGTAGTATAAATAGATTTAAACTCTTCGATCAAATGATCAATGGTTTATATTGTTTTCTACTAGTAGAGAGCACCGTAGTGAGGCTAATATTAGTATGGTTTATTAGATAACAAATAACGAAAACTCTAGGTAAATTCATTCAACAATCAATAAAAATCATCCTAAAATTTCTATTCGACTGTGTTTAGAATAGAATTTCCTGATTAGATTGAAAAGTTTGAATGAACTTTAATCAAATTAGATTTGGACGTATATTTTCAATCGGTACAGAAAAAAATTAAAAACATATGGGTTCGATCGATCAGCTATCACTTTTGGATGATCGAGCTAGCATTGAATCGTAAGCTTGCTTGTGAGTTAAGCTAGCCGTTGACTTATGCATTAGTTACCAAGTCGATCGATCGCAATAATATAATTAAGGCCGAGTTTACTTCCAAACTTTTTCTTTAAACTTGCAACTTTTCTATCACATCAAAACTTTTCTACCCATACAAAATTCTAACTTTTTCACTACATCGTTTCAATTTCAACCAAACTTTCAATTTTAACGTGAACTAGACACCCTAAGTTACTGATCTCTCTCCCTCCGTAGAAATGCGAAAAATTAACTCTACGTAAAATACTTGTCGATCTCGGCACCATCTCCAATTAGTCTCTCCAACTTGCACGCATGATCATCAGTCTGGTTCATTGAGTAAACTCACGTATATATTCTGCTGCATGCCACTAGCTCTATACACATGTAGCCAGCTATGTATTTTCCGGCCGTGCTCCGGCTGTGCGGCGACATGTCTTCGATCGCCGGCGCCGACGTGCCACACCGTCGCTCCATACCGGCCGGCCCGCTGGTCCCAAGCTGGCATGCAGTCGGCGGCCGGCGCCGTTGGTCGACATCGATAACGATTGATCATATGCCGCCGCCGCCGCCGTCGCCCGCGGCCGGCCGGCCGGCCACCGGAAAAGATGGGTATTGAGCGTGTACGTGCAGTGGACATTACACGGGATGTGTACGCGGTACGTTGAAGGAATTAATTAATTTATGGAAGACTAATTTTCCTTTTATTAAAAAAATAGAAGAAATACTTCTTCCGTCCCGAAATAAGTTAATCTAATATGGAATGTGGTATTTCCTACTATTATAAGTTTGAACATATGTGTTTGTCTAAAATCGTTGTATTAGAAATATCACATTCCATACTAGATTAATTTTGTTCTGACGAAGGTAGTAGGAAGAAGGAATTAATTGGTAGGAAGATTAATTTCCTCAGACAAATATGAGGAAGAGGAATTAATTTGTAGGAATATTACATTACGTCGATCGGGAGAGAGAGAGAGATCGATTTGTCGCGGTGGATGGCGATGGGAGGAAGCGGCAGGAGGCCTCAAAGTCCGGGAGGTGGCCTGCGCGGGTGCACGTGCGCGCGCCGCGCGCTCATCAGCAGCTAGCTGCGGCTTCTATCCCGGCCGGGACCTGACTTCCAGGGATTTATGCTATTTTATTTATATACACTACTACTGCTGCTGGATAATTCATTATGAATTACTGCTCACACCTTGTTTGGTTGTTAATTACTAATACAAAACCAGTAAACATATCTAAGAATTATAATTTTTTTAGTTTCAAGTACTTTTTTTGAAACAAATATGAGTATAACCATATTAATTTTAGAAGTTGAGTTGAAATTATTCGAAGGTCTATTACTGTATCTATCCTAAAATATAAGATTTCACTCATGCATATATAGTTGTATATATGGACAAAGTCTCTCATATTATAATATAAGTAGTCAAAGTTTAAACATGTTAACTACATGTATCTAAAATGTCACTTATTTGTCAGTGGTCGAAGCAACTTAGTTTTTAGAGTTAATTGAAAAAGACTTCGATAACTTTCGTTATGCAAGCTTGGCTTTCGGTTTTGGACCGCCGCTCATGAGTCATGAGCCGCACAACCGCAAAAATGCTTTCCAAGCAGCTCAAAATTATTTTTCTGTAATTATTAAGTATATATATTTGTATACATATACTCCTTCATATATATATATATATATATATATATATATATATATATATATATATATATATATATATATATATATATATATATATAACTTCATTTTAAACATGTGCGCAACAATTAAAAAAAGAGCTCAGTGACTTTTGTTTCTTTTTATTATATTCTGTATTGGAAAGGGTAGTCATTTTTATGTTGGATATTGTTTAATTTACTTGGCTATAACAAACAAGAAAGGAAATAAAATGTGACTGTACGTTCTAAATAACCTATATTCATGAAAAAAAAAGGTTGATTGAAATAGACCTACATTAATTTCAAGATTCAATAGATTACGTGTTGCTTGTTTATACGTAGCGATCATATATACTCCCTCCATTTCAGGTTATAAGACATTTTGACTTTAATTAAAGTCAAACTACTCTAAGTTTGACTAACTCTATATAAAAAAGTAGTAATATTTACAACACAAGCATAGTTTCATTACATCTATAATTGAATAAAATTTTATAATATATTAGTCTTGGGTTAAAAATATTACTACTTTTTTCTACAAAATTAGTCAAACTTAAAATAGTTTGACTTTAACTAAAGTTAAAACGTCTTATAACCTGAAACGGAGGGAGTACATGCAATTTGCCATTGTGCACAAGATGTTTATTTTGTTGAAAAAAAAGCCATGGCTAGTGCATGAGAAGATTTGAGGTTCTTGTAGGATCGAATCACAATAACTAAGCCAACCAGAGAGGAGTGAATGGTTGGTATACCCAAAAACCGAAAATTTTTAGCGAAAATAAAAGTTTCCCTCTAATTCGACGGATCGCGGTCTAACCGAAGTTGTCCTGTCGGTCTGACCGCCTGGTTGCCGTCGGTCTGACCGATACTTTTTTGCTTGATAGTTGATAATAGAGTATTAAATATGTATAATACATTGAGACAAGGGCAGCCTAAGGCTATTAATTAGGATTTGAGCCCTAGGCATATCTCCTTAATCCCTTATAAATTAATTAAGAAAATTATGAAAATAATTAAAGATGTAATAAATTATATTGGTTGATCCTAGGGTTTCAAAAACTTCTGGCTCTACCCTGCATTGGGACAGCCAGTAACATGGATGAAAATGGTAGCAAAAATTCTCGACCGATCGATATTAATTAGTGAGAATCATTTTCGCAAAATTCTAGCCAAATATAAATCTTATATTTTTTCTAATTTTTATCAACATCATATTAAAGTCACCACTAAATAATTAAATTAATAAATATGTAAAATTATTCCCGATAGACGGAGAGTATTATGTAGAAATTATATCATTTCCCGATCGTTTTCTTCCGACCCATACACGTAACATCTGCGCTCCTTTATCCAACTAGAGTTGAATAAAATTTCGGATAATTGTGACACGTTTTTC